CAACATAAAATAAATTCCTTGCCATTCTCATCACCGCCCGACTGAATTTTAAAATTCTCGTGAAAACGTTTTATATTTCGTTATACAATATAAATGTACCGCCCGACAAAATAATTCAAGACAGTTAATTTTTTTATATTTTATATAGGGTTTTTATTGCCATTTTAAACTTCCAATTTGAAACAAACAGAATTTTGAATGAAATTTCATTGTATTTTAAAGAAACTCAGTCATTCTGTCATTGTTCGTGGAGATACGAACTATTGATATATAAATTATATAAATATAAAATATAAAAAATAAATCTCCCACTGTCTTCGACATTTCAAAGTGTAGACTGTGTCTAGTGATGAGAATCAAGGAATTTATTTTATGTGTTAATATAAACCAAGCCCGTTTAGCTGCCTTAAAAACGGTGGTTTAATAAGCTCAAAATACAAAGCATGCAAGTCTATACTATACTATAGATTCATCATCAGTCAACAACCAAACTGAAAATATTGAACCTTATAGAACGATAGTTTTTATTTGTTTACAACTATACATATTCAACGGGTATATAAGAGTTTAACTGTTATTTGATAATTACTGCATCAACCGGCCCCTAGTTTATACTTTGGAGGTTCGTATATCTATCAAGTATCTTTGGTTCAGAACATGATAGGCCTATATGAAAATCCCACCGTTCGATTCAGTGAAGAAATATCTCCTAATTTCTATCGATAGTTTTAGTAAAATGTCAACATTATTGTGATTTATGGCCTTTGAAAGTCAAGCGAGATCGTATATTATCAAATTATCAAATACGCATGTAATTGTCTGAACGAAAATATAGACTAGCCCATACCTTTCGCCGATCATAACTTCGGCCCCTTCGTACGTATCTTCTTTGTTAAATATTCTTGTACGAATCGCTATCAAAAACACTACTTAGAGTGTTATTTTTCAGCTTGTATCTTTAAATTTGCTTCTTTTATTATGGTATTCCATTTCTGGTCTGACTTGACGTGAACTAATTTCAAAACGCAGAGTTTCAAAACGTCAAAACATTTGGTTAATGATTAACATTTAACCGAATTTAGCCGTTGGTTGACAACTACATAAAAATACTAACCAATCCGTTTTTCCCGTTCACCAGCGGACGGGTAATTCAAAAACCCCTAGTTTTGCGGCAGACGGTATTTCCTTTGCCTCCCTAATTTTCGCTGCCTGTAGAAATACCGCCTGCCGCGCAGGCTAAGTGTGACCTGGGGCCGGTTGTATAAAACTCTTAATAACTTTTTTTAATTAAACCACAAAATTTGCAAGAACATTTTGTTCAGGATAAAAATACAGGAAAGTACGCTTGTAACAAAGGTAACAAGCGATTTATGAAATTGGTCAATCTCGTACCCAGAGCCATCGTTGAGCCACTCAACGATGGCTCTGGGTACGAGATTGGAAATTGGTAGGAAAAATCTGATCACACTGTTCAGCGGTTTCACTTTCCATTTCAGCATCATCTAGCGCACAAAGCTTTGAAACTTGAATTTTTAGAATACTCAGTCAGAAGTTTACAGTAAAAAAATCTTTTGTGGAGAGAAAAGGAAAACTTGAATCAAATCATGTCTGATCAGTGTGAAGAGAGGCATAAAAGAACACACACAAGCGGCAAACCTAATCAATGCGATGTTACTAAGACGAAATTTAGACAAGCAGGTCATTTTGCTGCTCGTATGAAAAGAACACACAATAGAGACAAGTCTTATGATTGTGATGTTTGTAAGAAGAGTTTTAAAAGATCACATAATTTGGTAAGACATAAGAGAACACACACGGGGGAAAAACCTTATGAATGTGATGTTTGTGAGAAGAAATTTAGAGAATCGGGCAATTTGGTAAAACATAAGAGAACACACACAGGAGAAAACCCTTATGAATGTGAAGTTTGTAAGAAGAAATTTGGACAATCAAGTAATTTAGCTGTACATAAAAGAACACACACTGGAGATAAACCTTATGAATGTGATGTTTGTAAGAAGAAATTTAAAGTATCAGATCATTTGGTAAAACATATGAGAACACATACAGGAGACAAACCTTATGAATGTGATGTTTGTAAGAAGAGATTTAGCCATTCAGGTAATCTACCTAAACATAAAAGAACACACACTGGAGACAAGCCTTATGAATGTGATGTTTGTAAGAAGAAATTTAGACAATCAAGTCATTTAGTTACACATAAAAGAACACACACTGGAGACAAGCCTTATGAATGTGATTTTTGCAAGAAAAGATTTATACAAATAGGAGGTCTTAATTGGCACAAAAAGGAGCATTTGTTTTGCAATAGTTGCCACATGGAGATTATTGAACCACAAAATTTGCAAGAACATTTTGTTGAGGATAAAAGCACTGGAAAGTACACTTGTAACAAATGTAACAAGCAATTTTCTAATTTTATCAAATTGGTTCAACATATAGCAAGACAACATGGCAATGATGTAAACTATCAATGTGGTTTATGTCAAGAACTTGAATCAAAAGAACCAACTGGTGTTGGATATATTTGTTGTGTTTGTGATGTTGTATTTGATGTTCCCAGAGATCTCGAAGATCACATGGCCACCCATGACTCAATCTGAATATTGTTGCTGGCTTTGAGTATTCAGCGAGTTTATGCATATATAGGACATTCAGATTGCAGTTTATATGAAATATACATTGGCATTTGTAGCAGACTAGTTGTTTATATTTCTCATGCCTATTATTTTACTGTTGTGTGAGCTGATGTTGATCACTAGATAGGGAGAGATCATTATGTTCCTGGTGTTAAATATGTGAAATATGAACAGTAGAATGTATGGAGGGAGAATTTGGCTTTTAGAAATATTGTTATGTCAATATCTTGTGTCAATATATACAGTTACATTAAAGCGGTCAGTGCAGAAACGTGTGTGAATAAAGCCCCATACAATTATATCAAAGTGTTCAGTCTCTGCACTCTGGCGTTGAGTGCACAAATTCCATGGCCACGAAACATACAGAAGCGAGAACGCTTTGATAGAGCTGTATGGAGTTATTCACGCGTGTTTCTGTATAGAGATAATGTATGGGCTAATATATTGTTATAATAGGTCATAGTCGGTTCCCCTGTGATTATTGTAGTTAATTTTAATATTTATTTTAGGGGTGTGGGTAATTATCAGATTTGGGACAATCAGTTTGGTGTTGTGTTTGTTGTGTTGAACAATTGAGAACTGACAATTGATTGGGATTGATATTGATATAATTTATTAAATTTGATGTACAATGCACCAGTCAAAGTAAACTCCGACCCACCCCGGACAAAGAGGGGACTTGGTGGGGATTTAGTGGCTTTTTGTCATCGAATTCTCTCCCAACAATGTCGGGAATTTGTTGGTTTTTGTCTAGGGTTTTGTCATTCTGCCGAATTACGCCGGAAAGATAATGGAGATTGTTAGGGGATTGTCTGCGGCCATTTTGTACTATTTTGTACGGTTTTGTCCAATGGAATCCCCTGGTTCTACCATTTTATACCATGTGACAAAGGTCAAGATGGCGTGCTCGCAAGGAAGTGAAATCGAATGGAATTTTATAAATATATTATTAATTTAAGTTTTTTTTATGATTGCATGGCGATAAAATATATAATAGTTTTGTCTGTGGAAACACCACGTAAATTTATTACTGCAAAGCTTTCGATCCGTAAGCCCGGATCTTCATCAGTGCTAATAATATGTTATTATTTAATAGCACTAATATATAAATTAATATAATATTACTAGTAATATCATATATTATTAGCACTGATGTAGATCCGGGCTTACGGATCGAAAGCTTTGCAGTCTATTGTTGTGGAAAGCTCGACATTTGTTTGTTTTATATATTAATATGTTTTTATTGCGGGGGTTTTTTTGAGTTTTGGAACAAAATATTAATATTTTAAAATGTGGACGATTCATGCGGCAGCCCGGAGATTGTCGAGGAGATATTATGCAGGAGATAAATTCGCTCACACGACTTACAATTTCCCCCGGGGGTGGGGCATTTTTTGTCTTTTGCTAGAAAATTTTGTCCCATATTGTGGGGCATTTGTCTGTTTTGGTACGGTATTCAAAGCCAATCCCCACCTATATCCTGGGGGGGGGGGTCGAAGTTTACTTTGACTGGTGCATAACCATAACGGAAGAAAACAAAAACAATTAAATTTATAATAAACAGAGTACAAAAGATTATGTATATGCTACAGGTGTGGCAACCTATTTTCAGCGATGTCGCAAATATTCTGCGATAGCAGACTGATCTCTGCCGACCCCGCCTGCAGCGGCGGAGAAACAGTCTGCGATCAATCAACACTAAGGCGCCGTTCACATGAGATCGGAGCGAAGTCAAACCGGTGTCACAGGAGATTCGCCCCCCCCCTAGCCCCCCAGGGGGGTGGGGGGCGAATCTCCTAGGATATCGCCCCCCTTTAGGAATTTCGCCCCCCCCCCATATAAATTTTGAATTTTTGATCTAAAAACAAAACGATTTCAAGTTGAAAAGATTTAATGTGTGATTTATTTATTTATTTATTTATTTATTTATTACAGGGAGACAAAATTACATACACATTTTAGGCTTCTTAGCAGCTGGTGGTGTACACAGTCTGCATAACCAATCATTTGAGGTACTTAGACTAGTGTCATATTCTACACATTTAAAGTGGAACCATCACAGAGATCGCATAAAATCATGTTGTCGTATTCTTCTGGCAGTTTACATTCACATAACATATTATAAAAACAATCGCTTGCAAATTTTATCAATAGCCGCCACAGTAATCACTGGCTAACAATAAACTATAGGATTAGTAAAAAATCTATGGAATGTGTTGGGAAACGTATTGACTATTGTCCGTTGATCGTCAACTTTCCGTGTCAGTGATGTAATCTTGATTCTTCACTTCCGCAAAGAAAATTGCATTATACCTGTATATGTGGTGTGGTTTATTCAAATAATTTCATGATATTTTGATTTTATTAGTGCATGCCTTAAAGTTCTACCCTTCGCTTCTGAGATTTACAAACTATATTGAAATAATGCCAAACCATACATTTTCTGATAACGACAAAACGTGGATGCAAAACAATACCAATAATTACAATAACCACCACGGTGATTACTTTTTAACAATGAGTTTAAGGATTAACACTGAAAATGCAAAATATGCATGGTGTGCTGGGAAGCATCATAAGTCCTATTGAGTATTGATCTACTGTAACTGTGTAAAGCCCTTTCGATACATGTAATTGTAAATCTGTATTCTTACATGCAGGGCTTGAAATAACGTTCCCAAAGTTCCCGATCATGGTGATCGGCAGTCGTGACTTTCCCTGCTTTTTTCAGGTTGGAAACCGTAACCCTGCTTTTCCGCCGATCATAAGCAATTCCTTGCTGATCATTGATCGGTGCAGATCGGTTGTTATTTCAAGCTCTGTCTTAACAATGATTAAAGTCATGTAATAATTATCCATAGAAATATAATTATCCCATGCAACTGTTAGGAAGGGCGAAATTTTGAACGGAGGACGAAAATCCTAAAGAAAAGGTGAAGTTTCTAAAGGGGGGCGAATTTCCTAAGGGGGGCGAAAATCCTTGGAACACCGGGACCATTTCGTTTCGGTCATAGCCAGTTATCTATAATAGATGTTTACATCAGACCGGGACGAAAATAACTCAGACCGTTGTCAACTGTCAAGTCATTCCCTTCCGCCTGCTGGACCGAGCCGATTGACTTCAGACCGAGATGAATGTAGACACAAATACATTTCAGACCGGTCTCGGCTGTAACCTTGACATTGGAACAACATGTTAACAAAAGCCCATCTAAAGGAGAAAGTTGCCTGGCAAGGGGAATACATTGAAAATTTTGTGACTTTCGTACCGTACTACCGGTCTCATGCTGACAATTATTATAAGTAAACGCATGATTTGAGGGAAATTAGTGGTTAAATGTCCCCGCAAACCGAAGGAGGTTTAGTAAAAGCGCCCGAGGGAGTTTTACTAAACCTCCCGGTCATTTAATCACTATTCGCTCAAAGAATGCGTTTAGTTTGTAAATACATGGTAGCCGAGGGAATCGCGCGTGGTGTGTTGCCTGTTTTGAATGCTGTTTGATTGTCTTATGAGTACGAACACTTTTCATATATACGCACGCGCAGAAACACATCTCCGTGTTCATTCATTTTAGGCATGCGCATAAACGGAATTTTCTCCCACAATTGAAATGTTCAAGATTAAGCTCGAATACACGAGCAATATTTTTGCTGAGTTGGTAAAGCCTGGTTCACATTGATCGGCGATGTTCTACGATCCATTGTCTGTGAGCAACGAAGAAGAAAATGCACAAAACATTTTATGCATCAATGACCACCGACAATGGGATCGCCGATGTTTACGATCAATGTGAACCAGGCTTTACGCAATGGGTTATAACAGCATTGCGTTGCCGTCGCACAAGGTGGCTACACCTGCAATATTTCACCTGCAATATATGTCTTCATAACGCTTTTCATTGGCTGGTTAAGAAACGTGTCATTCATCAACCTTGACTTTCCTTGACCACACCTCCCAATTTTCGGCAATCATTGCCGAAAATCAAATGATTTGAAATTTCGGCAACGATTGCGCGCAGCTTTGCGCTGAGGTACAGCTCTCCAATCAGAGGTAATGAGGTACGCTTTTGTCTTCTAAATATCCCTCATCAATAATGCAAGGAAATTAGAAGATAATCGCATATTTTCACCGTTGAGAGTTGGGTCTAAAACCATTGAAAATGAACCCCCTTTAGGACTTAAGTTGATGAATTTTACTTCATTAAACTGCACACATATTCATAATTATTATTAAATAGGAATAAATCTCGGTATTGTTAAAATGAAGTCTCTGGCGCGAAGTTACATCTGGTGGCCCAAAATTGATAAGGACATTGAGCACCTAGCCAAGAGCTGCCCTGGTTGTCAACTTCAACAGAATGAAGCCGGCAAAGTACCACTACACCCTTGGGAATGGCCAACCACACCTTGGCAGAGAATCCATTTAGATTTTGCTGGGCCGTTCCTAGGACGAATGTTCCTTATCATTGTAGATGCACACTCGAAGTGGCCTGAAGTGGAAATAATGCCATCTACCACATCGACGCAGACCATTGACCGACTCCGAACTATTTTTGCCCGATATGGAGTGCCAGCACAGGTGGTGACCGACAATGGGCCACAATTTACATCCGCAGAGTTCCAACTATTTTTGAAGACTAATGGTATCAAGCATATTACCACGGCCCCATTCCACCCTGCAACCAACGGTCAAGCGGAACGTTTTGTTCAGAGTTTCAAACATGCTATGAAATGCGAGAAACAAAGTGCATCCCAGCTGAAAACCAATATGGCAAAGTTCCTTTTGGCTTACCGGAATACCCCGCATTCGACGACTGGAGAATCACCGTCCGTGTTGTTTTTGGGCAGACCGCTACGGACTCGCCTCGATTTGGTGAAACCTGATTTACAAAGGAAAGTGATGAACAGGCAAATCGATCAAGCGGGGAGGAAAGGACATTCCCCCACACGTCAATTATCCATTGGTCAGACTGTCATGGCACGTAACTACAGTGGGAAAGACAAGTGGCTACCAGGCATAGTTCGAGCTCAAACGGGACCCCTTTCGTACGAGATAAAAGTTGGTCCAAATCGAATTTGGCGACGTCACATCGACCAGCTTCGAGCCTCGAGTGTGAAAGTAAATGACCAGAGTGATGATACGGCTGAACCTCATCCAGAGCTCGGAGAGACTGGCCAGAATATTGCACCAGCAGAAGAAATTATCGCAGAGCCGGATATCGAACTAGCCACGAATCCACCAGTAGTGCAACAACAAGAAGCCGGTAGGGCTACAACAGGATCTGAACAACGCTACCCAACTAGATCACACCAACCACCCGAGAGGTGGGGTCTTAACTGTTTGATCCGAAAACTGCTTAAGAAAACTACATAGAGAACTGCTTTATTACTTACTGTTATGGTTAGCATAATTGTTCGAACACGATAGTGAACTCATGAACAATATTTTATGATACATTCCTTAAGAGGAGAGATGGTGTTAGATATATAGATATAGACGGACAGCGGTCATACGCACGGACATGCGCATTAGATATGTAGATCGGCCATGCTTATGTATTATTCATATTTTGTTAAAAGTATAATCTAAATACACGACACTA